ACACACATATGCTCACAATCTCTCTCTCACACACACACATACACATACACACACACACTCACACATACATACACATACACACACACATACAGAGACAAATATAAACACCCACAAGGCCTGGGGGTCTCTCATTCCTTACCTACCTGTTAAATAACCGGCATCGACAGGGGTAACTGAGACTGCCGAGAGTCTTTATGGGACGATATATAGACTAGAGTTTCCACTCTATAGGGGAATATAGAGACTATAGAGAGAGTTTCCACTCTATAAAGGGATATAGAGGTTATAGAGAGTGTTTCCACTCTATACGGGGATGTAGGAACCACAGAGAGAGTTTCCACTCTATAGGGGCATATAGATACTATAGAGAGAGCTTCACTCTATAGGGGAATATAGAGACTGTAGAGAGAGTTCCACTGTATACGGTGATAAACAGACTATAGAGGGAGCTTTCACTCTATAGGGGGACACAGAGACTATAGAGAGTGTCTCCAGTCTATAGGGGAATATAGAGGGAATCTCCACTGCAAGGGGATACAGAGTCTATAGAAAGAGTCTCTACTGTGTAGGGGAATACAGGAACTATAGAGATAGTCTTCATTGTATAGGGGGATATAGAAACTATAGAGAAAGTCAATGTGTGTGTGTGTGATAGAGAAAGTCTCCACTGTTAAGGGAGATATGGAGACTACAGAGATATATAGAGAAGTTGAGGACTGGGTCTGTACTCGATGGAGTTTAGAAGGATGACAGGGATCTGACTGAAACTTGCAGAATACTGAGAGGCCTGGATAGAGCGGACATGGGGAAGATGTTTCCACTAGGTAGGAGAGACTAGGACCCAAGGGCACAGTCTCTGAGTGAAAGAATAACCCTTCAAAACAGGGATGAGGAGGAATTTCTTTAGCCTGAGGGTGGTAATTCTCTGGAACTCATTGAGAGCTGTGGAGGCCAAGGCATTGAGTGTCTTTATGACAGAGACAGATAGGTTCTTGATCAGTTAGGGGATCAAGGGTTACAGGGAGAAGGCAAGAGAATGGGGCTAAGAAACATTTCAGGCATGATCAAATGATGGAGCAGACTGGATGGGCCGAATGGTGTAAATCTGCTCCAACGTCATATCATAGAATTCCCACAGTGTGGAAACAGGCCCTCCGGCCCAACAAGTCCACACCAATCCTCGGACCATCCCACCCAGACCCATCCCCTATAACCCACCTAATCTACACATCCCTGAACACTACATGCGATTTAGCATGGCCAATCCACCTAGCCTGCACGTCTTAGGACTGTGGGAGGAAACCAGAGCACCCAGAGGAAACCCACGCAGACACGGGGAGAATGTGCAAACTCCATGCAGATACAGTTGCCAGAAGGTGGAATCGAACCCTGGTCCCTGGCACTGTGAGGCAGCAGTGCTAACCACTGAACAACCGTGCCGCCCAATAAATGGTCTTATAGAGAGAGGGTTTCAGCTGTACAGGAGTTTTTATAATCCTTACACGGTCCGCTGGGAATCACTAACTAATCTCCTTGAGTTTCCTTGTTAATGTTGGTGTATTTTGGTTTTCAACAATAAATTATGTTCTTTTCTGGTCGGACTTCCTGACTTATTACATTGGCAACAAAAGTAAAGAACAGTTTTGGATAGCCTGATTTCTCAATGAATCTGATGGGGAAGTATTGGAAATTCTGCTGTTTGGGAAACTGGAACTGTATGATACAGGTATGGAGGACTGATCCCAGAAAGAATGAGATACTTTATTCAGGCAACTGGACAGAGGGGATCACCAACAAAAAGTAATTGTCCTGACTACTTGCGGGACCCCCACTTTTAGCATCGTAACCTACCCAGCAAAGCTGGAATCTAAATCTTCTGACGAACCGGTAGGGATGGTAACAGAGCACTGTGGATGCAAACCATCTGTTGCAATTGCAGGTTTAACACAGCAGATAGACTTCTGGGGGAACCAGTCACTGAATTCCTGATGACTGTGGAAATTGGCGGAACACTTTGAGTACATAAGTGCATAAGAAACAGGAGCATGAGTAGGCCATTTGGCCCCATCGAGCCTGGCCCGCCATTCAATAAGATCATAGCTGATCTTTTTCTCAGGTCCACTAACCTGGCTGCTCACCATAACCCTTAATCCCGTTACCGTTCAAAAATCTATCTTTACCTTAAAAACATTCAACGTGGTGGCCTCATCTGCTTCAGCTCTGATGAAGAGTCTCAAAATGTTAGCTTGCTCTCTCTCTCCATGCTTGACCCGCTGTGATCTCCAGCATTTGTTGTTTTCGGAACAGATTCCAGCATCAGCAGTAATTTGCTACTCAGCTGTTTCACTGGGCAGGGAATTCTGCAGATTTGGGTGAAGAGGTTCCTCCTCAGCTCAGTCCTAAACCTGCTCCCCCCTTATTTTGAGGCTATGCCCCCTAGTTCTAATTTCACTCACCATTGCAAGCAACCTCCCTGCTTCTATCTTATCTATTCCCTTCATAATTTTATATGTTTTTATAAGATGCCCCACTCTTTCTTCTAAATTCCAATGAGTACAGTCCCAGTTGACTCAATCTCTCCGCATAAGCCAACCCTCTCAACTCTGGAATCAATCTAGTGAACCTCCTCAGCACCCTGTCCCAGTGCCAAAAAAATCCTTTCTCAAGTAAGGAGACCCGAACTGTACACAGTCCTCCAGGTCTGACCTCACCAACACCCTGTACAACTGCAACATAACCTCCCTGCTTTTAAACTCCATCCCTCTAACAATGAAAGCCAATATTCCATTTGCCTCTTTAATTCTTCTGCTGTACAGGTCAGTATTTCAGCAAACATTAAGGGATTGCTTAATTGGTGGAATTAATAATAGTATGACCCAAAGGAAGCTACTGGCTGAACCAGACCCCGAAACCTCGAGAAAGCCATAGAACTGGCCCTTTTCTGTGACAATATGGGGAAAAGGGGGCTCAGGAGCTTCAAGGGTCTATAGAGCTCACCGCCTTCAGCCTTGGGGGAGCCCCACATAGTAGATGTTGTCTGATTGGAGACTGCAAATTTCCAGAACTGGATGGGAAGTTTCTCCAATGCACAGCGAGGAGTACGGATCAGAGATTCTGTCCCAAACAAGGCTACCGAAACAGGTGAAACGTAGGGCGAAGACTCCTCAAGGCAGGGCTTTGCAAATAAATTGACCCAAGGATGAGAAATCGAACAGCTAAATTGTATCACTGGTCCCAAAGCGTTCCCAGTTAATTCCTGACGACTGTGGAAATTGGCGGAACACTTTGAGTACATAAGTGTATAAGAAACAGGAGCATGAGTAGGCCATTTGGCACCATCGAGCCTGGCCCGCCATTCAATAAGATCATAGCTGATCTTTTTCTCAGGTCCACTAACCTGGCTGCTCACCATAACTCTTAATCCCGTTACCGTTCAAAAATCTATCTTTACCTTAAAAACATTCAACGTGGTGGCCTCATCTGCTTCAGCTCTGATGAAGAGTCTCAAAATGTTAGCTTGCTCTCTCTCTCCATGCTTGACCCGCTGTGATCTCCAGCATTTGTTGTTTTCGGAATAGATAAATGTCCACCCCCTATACATGGAGATAGCACATGTATTTATTGTCGGGGGAGAAAATCTTCAGTGAACTCTGATGGGGCATCTTGCAAGACACCAGATTGGGCCACACGCACTGGGGAGCCCTTATGTATTATTGGGACCATTGTTAGACTAGATACAAAGCAGTGATGGATGGTCTCAGATGTTGGCCAGGCGTAGAATCCCGACAAGTGTGGAAGCTGGCCATTTGGCCCATCTTATCTATTCTGATCATAATTTTATATGTTTCTGTAAGATCCC